AATTTGAGGAAAATGAATTAAACAAAGCAGACCAGCTATATGAGGAAATGGAGGCAAAGATGACGTGGTTAGAGACCGTGATTTAGGAACAACAAAGGAGAAGACACCAAGAAGCTCCAGCCACCTCTGCCGTGAAAATGATATTGCTTCACTCTGCTGGGCAAAGGAAATTTCTTTCAGTCACACCTAGAATGTAGAATACTAATTTTCAAATGCTGCAGAGAGCCAGGACCTTTGGACCAAATCCTTTGGCATTTGTGTGCAACTGCTTATTAGGATTGTCGGGCAGAGATGCACCATACGGAATGCAGCCTGTCTGAGTCTAGCTTACCAACACAATCCATTCTATTTAGTTAATTGTCAGTTTAATCAATTCTAACTGCTATTTAAATCTGTATGAAGAAAAACCACCACAGAAATTTTCACAAGTGGCCTCAAATAAATTTTCAAGTGTCTCAAATGCCTTTGGGTGTGTGTGTATAACAGTCTGAGTCCCCAGGGCTTTAAGAAAGAAGGGCTCCCAGGCATGCGTTTTTCTTCTCCTCTTCCTTTATTTTTATTTTTATTGGGTTTCATTATCATGAGTTAGGGGCCACTGTAGACAAGGCTAACACTTGCCAGTTTCCAGCCTCCACCTCCTAAGTGTTGAGATTACAGGTGTGCACCACCATGCCTTGTTTATATGGTGCTGAGACTGATCCCAGGGATTTGGGCACAACAAGCGCAGACTCTGTCCACAGGGCTACATCTGCAGTTTGGGATTCATCAGTCACTGGGTGAATGTACTATTATTTCCAATAAATACTAGTTTCCAAGAGCAGGGGCAATCAGGATGTCTTGTTCGGGGTCATTTATGTGTCTGCTCTGTTTTTATCTCTATTTCTGGCTGACAGTGAAATGAGGTAGGGTTGGATGGTTTGCAACAATGGATGCTTTTGGACCTGCTCATTCCTGACTTTGATAGAGCCGATAGCCACAGGAAAATACACTCTACCAGGTCCATCCTGTAGTTGGCCTCTCCCTAACATCCTAAGAAAGAACTAAAGTTGGCATTAAGAGGGTAACTTCTAGCTTTCATGTTGCAGTTTTTCAGGTTATTTTAAAAACTAATCCAGAGCTGGGCAGTGGTGGTGCACGCCTTTAAACCCAGCACTCTGGAGGCAGAAGCAGGCAGATTTCTGTGAGTTCGAGGCCAGCCTGGTCTCCAAAGCGAGTACCAGGAAAGGCGCAAAGCTACACAGAGAAACCCTGTCTCGAAAAACCAAAAAAAAAAAAAAAAAACAAAAACAAACAAACAAAAAACCTAATCCAGGCCAGATGTGTGGAACTTATGCCTTTAATCCCAGCACTTGGAAGGCAGAGGCAGGAGGGTCTCTGTGAGTTCAAAACCAGCCAGGTCTACATAGCAAGCTCTAGGACAGCCAGGACTACATGGAGAGACCCTGTCTCAAACACCAACAAACAATAAATTAATCTAAGCCCCCACCCCAGAAGGGTTTCCCAACAGGTGAAGGAGCTCAGTGCTGGGGTAGAGTTGTGAGAACATAAAGTATTTCATGTGAAGATTAGAATGCTATGCCTCTGTTGGCAAAAAGTAGCTCTCCATTATTGACTTCATTTCCCTTCAGACTAGTAGGTGGGGACAATGTCAGTTTCTGAACGGAAGCAGGGCAGCCTTGCATCCTAATGTGGAGAATAACCTAGGAGGTCATTAAAACCAGAAAACCTGTTAATGAGCCACAAAGTATGATAAAAAAAATCAAGGCACCATGTTCCATGAACTCTTTCTGTAACTGAGACAAGATAGCAGAGGCTCCATCATTCATGATGATACTTACAGCAAATTTTCTAAACATTAGGGGGTCTCAGGAATAAAAAAAAAAAACAAAAACTATTCACAGGAGATCTCCATTAAGTTATTTTGAAGAAGCTGGGCTAAACCCTGAGAACTAACAAAAAGAAAATGAACCAAAGAGAAAAACAGGCCACATTAGTATTCTTTTGCTAAAATGTGAGCTACTAAGGCTTCACAACACAAAACATGACATTTCCAATTATGTAATTTGGTAAGTATTTAAGTGATAAGTCCAAGATATGACCCAGGGGTGAACAAAGATGACTGTTACCCATCAGTCAATGGGGTAGGACAGAAGAGTTAGAAATATTTATATATTTAATAGACAATTTTTATGTATTAAATAGACAATGTCTCCATGGGAGAGAGAGAACACACAGTCCTCAGCTTTGGCTAAGATCAAACTGATCTAATTAGGGTTTTTCATTTAGTTCATTGCTCTGAAGAATTCCCTTTTGTGAGGCACGCTTTTGATAAATTTCAAGGAAAGCTATTTGGAGGAAATTTTGAATTAGAATTATTTTTATGAAGAAGAAAACAGAAGTGTACTTCAAGGATATGCCTAAAGCTTGTCTGAAAGAGACCAAGATGATTACTTAGGAGTCATAAATTATACATTTCATAATAAGATTCACTTTTTACAAAATAGCCCAAAATATTCTATACGTCTCACCTTTGGAATGTAAACCATGATTTGAATGGGATATTTTAATTAATGTTATTTTACAAGTAAAGAGAGGAAAGGGTTTGGGGGTTTTGTTAGCTCTTCCGATTGTGAATATTTGGTACAGTCATTAATAATCACAGGTGCATTAACAAGAACGTATTTCAATGTCTGAGTGATTTGGCTACGGTTTCTAATGTAGAATGACTGCCAGCAGTTCTGAACACTGGAGGAATTCACTTCCACTTCACCCTGTGCGTCTGGCAGATGTGCTCTCTGCCTATGGAGTTTAAAAGTGCAGACTTGGCACCTCATAGAGATGTTATGGCCACAGCGTCTGCAGGTGAGACTTGCGGAATGCAGTCCCAGAACTGAGATGCAAGCAAAGTTCAGCAACCCTGGTGGACTTGAGCCACTTCACCCCACAGGAAATTTTCACCTGGATAAAAAAGAAAATGTTTTGCACAGTTTCCCTCATATTTAAAATGCCATTTTTGGAAGGTGGGAAATGGAACCCGTTATTGACCAGACCCTAGTTTCCATCAACTCGAAAGCTAAGGATGTCATCTGATAGGATCGTGGGCTTCTCCCATCTTGCTGTACCCACCTTTTTCTGATGGACCCACCAATATATTCTGAACTTGCCTCGATTTATGACACATCTTTGTTATATAAAACTATAAAACTTCATGAAACTGCTTCCACACTGGAACATGGAATTTGGGGTAAGCTAAAACTGTGTTCCTGGACCATGGTTACTCAAGATGCCTGCAGAATAAACTTTTTCCCTAAAAATGGACACAGATAATAAGTACTTGATTTGAACCAATAAAGGATCACGCAAATCTGGAATAGAAAGAGATATTAAATAACTGTAACATAACCAACTTCCAAAGCCAGTACACATATTTCCAAACAATAAAAGGAGCAACTAATATGTTCTCAATTCTTTCTGTGTGTTTTGAAACAGGATCTTAAATGCAGCACAGACAGGCCTTGAATTCTTGATGATACTGTGCCTCAGACTCCATGCCGGCCTAGTCTGAGAGCTGGGATTGCTGGATTATACCACCATAACTGACCATGTGCTTGATTTGTGTCATTAATATCTCTGAGGAGTGGATGTGGAAATATTAGTTTAATATCAAGAGCTATAGATGTGCCTTTACCACCTTTCCTCAGACCATTTCATTATTTGAGAAGTATGTTTAAAGAGATGATGAGAAAGTTATCAATGATTGATATATTTAAATCATCTTAAGAGTTTCAAATTTTAAAATGGAAGAAGTGTTTTTGTTGTTGTTGCTCGGTTTCATTTTGTTTTAAAGATCGTCCATCAGTGATGAAGAGATGGCTCAGCAGTTAAGAGCACTGACTGATCTTGCAGAGGACCTAAGTTCAATTCTCAGCATCCACATAGTGGATCACACTGTCTGCAACACCAGTCTCAGGGGACCTGATGCCCTCTTCTGGTCTTAGGGGCATACATGCACATGAGGCATGAACAAAACATCTAAAAACATAAAATAAAATGAAAAAATTAAAAGTATTGTCCATTCCTCTTTTTTCACAAATAATATGAAAAAAATTTCAAAGTTAACATGCCCTATGTATCTCTTAAGAAAGGATGATTTAAATATGATATCTGCAGGAATCCCAGACACAACATCACTCTCTTGTCAAGAGGCAATATATATATATATATATATATATATATATATAATCTCCACAAGATTTTCAATTTCACAAAAGTGGTTCATAGGAAGGAGCTCTGCCATAACAATTTATAAAAACTGTTGACTGCCATCCTTGTTCATGATTCTCTGTGAATCCTGACTTACCATGGGTCTCTTGGAGAAACGTTAACAATAGTATTTGAAAGAAAAATATCATTATATTGAGAGTGATTCAAATCATTCTCTGCCCAATTTTAGAAAATAGTAACTTGAGTACTGCCACCAAAACAGTCATGTATTATATATTTCTTAAACAATGAAAGAAGAATTAGGGCAAGAATAGAAAGCTATTTTCCATAGAATTGCAAGCTAAATGTAGCCAGCATGTCTTTGGATACATAGGAAAAACCTGCTATGGTTAAATAATAAGAAACCCAGGGGTACCAATAATATAGCCAAATGAAAGCCTGCAAACTACTGCATGCTTAACCCCATGCTGGCCTAATTATAGCTCCAAACATCTCTAACATTAATAAACACTCACAAGTGGCTAAGGCCCTGGGAGTAATGCATGTATTTAAAAAGACCCTTTTTTCTCAATGAATATGTTTTTTTCCACTGGGATAAGTTTCAAGTCACATAACGACAGGATACCAGACACCAATTAGATGGTATAGGGATGTGCTATGTGTGGGATCAAGCGATACAGACTGAGACCTTTCATCTTCCCATGTACAGATATTTGGTCGCTTTGCATATTTAGACATGAGGAACTGTGCAGCTGTCATCGTGGACAGAGACTCACCCGTGCCTGTGAGGAAGTTGACATTCTTCATCACACCACCCGTGTAAGCACCTGGTTCATAACTGTCCATTTCCCCTGTGACAATGTGAGCTACTCTTGCAGCTCGTCCTCGGATGGCACCTGCAGCTCGGTCTAAGTTATCAGCATCCTGGTCCCTCAAGGCTATGATGCATTTGTTGACATCTTCCAGGATGTGGCTTTCTGTAAAGAAACAGAGCAAGTTACTTGTATGCATGTGTTTTGATCACACACATGTAGCGCATTGCAATATTATTGACTTTTCACTCGGGACACACTATGTTACTTAGGGCACTGGGAATTAATTATGAATTAATTAAGTAAAGTTACAAGTATTTTTAATTCATTTCTTTACTTACCATTTGCAACAGCCATAAAATGTGAAATTTCTTTTTGAACATAAGAGTTTCAGGGTATGGGAAGATGGCTCAGCTGATAAAGACAGGAAGGTCTGTGCTTGGATCACCAAGACTCACTTAATATCTGGCCACTACAGCTCTATATGTAACCACAGTGCTATAGTTGGGGACAGAGACAGGGAGAGCCCAGGGGAAGTTTAGAGAGCCAGTCTAGAAAAACAAATAGACAAACCAGTGAGCTCCACACTCAGAGAGAGAGTCTGTCTCTCCAAAAATAAGATGGACAATGATGAAAAAGAAGCTATCCAGCAACAACTTCTGGCCTGCTTATGTTCATGGATAGATGGGCATCTACACCTACAGACAGACAGGTAGACAGACAGACACACACACACAAGGGGAGAGAGAGAGAGAGAGAGAGAGAGAGAGAAAGAGAGAGAGAGAGAGAGAGAGAGAGAGAGAGAGAGAGAGAGAGAGAGAGAGAGAGAGAAATGTGCTTAATATGAGGATACATACCTCAAATCCTAGCACTAGGGAAGCTGACCCAAGAAGAACAGGAGTTCTAGACCAGTTAGCCTAACACAGAGAATTAAAAGCTTCATTGTAGAAATATCCAAAGCACCAAGGGGAATAAAGGACAGAAAACTGTATTGATTATGCATTATTTTAGGTGCTAGGGCCTTTAGAGCATGTTTCATATTTGAGACGCAAGTACAAATTGAAGGTATTTTACATTAAAATAGAAATAGAATATATAATTATAGAATATTTAGTTCTGAATAAAAGCAATGTTATATAAGAGTGCAAATTTAAAACTACCATCTTTGATTAAGTATACAGGAGAATAAAACAATGGTGTTTTATTTAGCTAGCAGATAATAAAATATGAAATCTATGATATTTTTAAAATATTGATTATGTATGCGGATGGGGTGGGTGGGTATGTGCATGTGCATTTAGGTGCCTTCAGAGGCCATAAGAGGGCGCTGATCCTCTGGAGTTGGAGACTGGTGAAAGCCACCTGATGAGGATGCTGGGGATGCTGAACAGGAAGAAAGTAAGCATTCTTAACCACACTGCCATCTCTCCAATTCCCCAAACTAAAATCTTTGTGTTGTAAAGCAACAATTTCTCAAGTCTGTGGACACACACATACACACACACACACACACACACACACACACACACACACACACACACACACACACACACACACACACACACACACACACACACACACAGACAGACTTGTCTACTCTGACAGGGTTAGAATATCAAAAGACAACAGGGAATAATTATCACAATAAGACAACAACGTACTCTATAAAATTATTAATATTCTCAAAGAAAAGTAAGGTGACAATATGAGGAAATACGTGTAATATCAACAAATGTAAATGATGATCTTTTTTTGTTTCTTGTTTTAGTTCTCGTTGCTGTATTTTTGCTTTTGGAAATAGGGTCTCACTCATTCAGCCCTGGGTGGCCCTGAATTCTCCATTCTTTTGCCTCAGCTTCTCAAGTGCTGGGATAAGAGTCTTTCATCACCATGCACATGATTATTTATAAGAATTAAAAAAAAAATTCAAAACTAGTGATTTGGCTTCAGGCTTTATCACATGAATCCCCACGCAAGAGAATTAAAGTTTCGATTATTTATCAACATACACAAAAATTGTTATAACAAAAGACCTTAGTGTCCTATAACCTCTTATTAACCTTTGTGTCCTCCCTCTCCTGTTTCTCTTGGATGTGTTTATGCACATGTGTTGACTGTCCGTGCCGATGTACGTTAATCACATGACTAAGTTAGCCACAGTCATATTTTTCTCTTAATGGATATTTAAACGATGAAAGAAGATTATGGGCAAGAATAGAATGCTGTTTCCCATAGAACAGCAAGTTAAAGGTCGTCAGCATGTCTCTGGATACATAGAACAAACCTGTTATAGTTGAATAATAATAATAATGAAACTATCATAGAATATTTTCTGTGAACTCTACTGTTCCATTGCAGACTTTCTAAGCTTCACTTACATGTATTTTTACTGTTTTTCATTTGACTCTTTCTGTGGGCATGCTAAAACATTGACATAACTGCACTGCCCACTCCTGTGGTTAGCATGTTTGCCTTGTATTGTTGTTTAAATGATTTCTTTTATTTTGGAGATTATAATATAATTACATCATCCTCCCTCCTTTTCTTCTCCCCAAACCTTCCATATAGCCCTTCTTACTCTCTTTTAAATTCATGGTCTCTCTTTTCATTAATCGCTATTGTATGCATATTTGTTGTATGCATATATGCATATGCTGTTACATGCATATATACATTCCTAAAAAAATAAATATACTGTGTTTTATATATGTATAATATAATATAATATAATATAATATAATATAATATAATATAATATAATATAATATAATATAATATAATATAATATAATATAATGACCTCAGTCTGCATGTTATACGTATGTATATTTTTAGAGATGAAAGTTTGGTATGGGTTAACCAATTGCTGTGCTCTTCCTTGGGGAAGACAGTTTCTCCCAATCTCAGCATTCCTTAGTTGCTTGTAGTTCTTTGTGTAGGGTTGAGGCTTCGAGGGCTCTCCCCGTTGCACTTTGGCGTGTCTATTGTTGTTGTCCTTGTTCAGCTCACGTTTGGGCAATCATGTTGGTGAGATGTCATGGGTGTAGCTTCTGATTTCACTAGGAGACACAATCTCACAACAAACTCACGGACCCTCTGCTTCTTACTGTCTTTCCGGCCCCTCTTCTGCACTGTCCCCTGGGGATTATGTGCAGAGGTTAATTTGCAAATGTATCCATTGGGACTGGGCTCCACAGTTCTGCATTTTTTATATATATATATTTTTTTAATTTTTATTTTTATTTTGCAATACAATTCAGTTCTACATATCAGCCACGGATTCCCTTGTTCTCCCCGCTCCAGCCCACCTCACCTTCCCCCCAATTAGCGAAAATGAGGAGGGTTTATATGAGCGAGAATTGTTGAGACCAAGGTTGGATAAAGCACAGGGACAAATAGCCAAACGAATGGAAACACATGAACTATGAACCAATGGCTGAGGGGTCCCCAACTGGATCAGGCCCTCTGAATGGGTGAGACAGTTGATTTGGCTTGATCTGTTTGGGAGGCATCCAGGCAGTTCTGCATTTTAATGGGTTGTGTTTCACTGATGATAAGTGAAGGCTATATTTATCTGAGGTTATAAGGACAAATACTTAGAACGTAGTTAGAGATTCTGCTGGTTTAGTAAAGGGGTATCTGTATGTTCTCTTCCAAGACCCATGATTTCATTAGCTCTGTGTACTTGGCTAGGTTTCCAGTACCAGGCATGATATCCCTGTTGTTGAACATGTCTTCATTGCAATTAGAGAGCTATTGGTTCCCACCAAGGTATACAAGCCAAGACTTCACCGTTGTGGTTATTATGCAATGCTAGGCATTGTTGTGGCTCATAGGCATCATAGCTGGGTAGGATTCTTGGTGGCTTCCCTCCTTTGGAAGCTTACATGGCATCTTCTGGTACCATGGAAGCTAATACTTAGGAAGAAAGCCTTCAGGTTAGTTCAAGCCAGGGCCCTCCTCTGCTAGCAGTTTCAATTATCACAACTAGGTCTTCGATCAATTTGGAGCTGGTTTTGTGTGTGTGTGTGTGTGTGTGTGTGTGTGTGTGTGTGTGTGTGTGTGTGTGTGTGTGTGTGAGCGCGCACGTGCGCGCGCAAGGTGATAGCTACAATTTTAATTTCATTTCTTTGCATTTGGACATTCAATTTTCCCAGCACTGTTTGATTCCCCTGCCCCCAGCCTCTTTTGTTATATTTCCTAAGTATGCAATTGCTGAAGTTATACATACTCATGTTTGAGTCTCTGGTTTTGTTCTGTTGCTCTACATGTTTGCTTGTTTGTTTTGTTTGTTTGGGTTTTTTTTGTTTTGTTTATTTTTTTGAGACAGGGTTTCTCTGTATAATAGCCCTATCTGTCCTGGGACTTGCTGTGAAGACTAGGTAGGCCTTGAATTCACAGAGATCTACCTGCCTCTACCTCCCCTATGCTGGGGTTAAAGGCATGAACTACTATGCCAGATGCCGAACTAGATGTGTTTATTAAACACAACTGTGGTGACATTTTGTTTGTGATCTAACAAATAAAGCTTGCCTGATGATCAGAGTATGGAGCTAAGCCACTAGTTAGCCATAGAGGCCAGGCAGTGGTGGCACACAACTTTAATCTAAGCACTCAGAAGGCAGAGGCAGACAGATCTCTGTGAGTTCCAGGCCATCCTGGGCTATACAAGATTAATTCAGTCTAGAAGAGAAACAGAGCCAGGAGGTGATGGCTCACACATTTAATCCCAGTACTTGGGATTCCTATGCCTTTAATTCTAGCACTAGGAAGGTGGAGACAGGAAGTGATATGTCTGGGCAGAGAGAGGAATATAAGGCAGAAGGAGACAGGAGCTGATTGCTCCTTTTCAGTCTGAGAATTCCTAGAGGTAAGAAGTCTTTGTAGTGGCTGGCTTCTCTGCTTCTCTGATCTTTCAGATTTCACCCTGATATCTGACTCTGGGTATTATTATTATTATTATTATTATTATTATTATTATTACCAATTAGAATTCATGCTACACACAACAAATAGATAGAATTTGTCATTCCAGTCATTCAGTCTGTAATTTCTGATTGAAAAATTAAAAGGAAAACATTAAACTATAAATTCACCAGGCTTTTAAACTAATCTGTAGCATTCTCTTATGAATATATCATAAGACACACAATAAAACTGGATGGT